AAAATATTAGCGTTTCGTGTTCGTTTTGACTTCGTGTGGACGGGGCCTTACACTTGCTCATATTTTCCCGACAAAAAGTTAATGGCGCATCTCCCAAATGTCCCGGCTGCAACAACGCTTTTATTGGTTCCGCTATTGGGACGGAACCAATAAAAAGCGTTTTATTTAGATTACAATAATAAAAAAATTCCTATTTATAATGTTTTAAAAATTAAGACCTACGAAAGACTGATTTAAATCATTTTAATACCAATCAGTTTTATTTTGAAGAATTCAATGCCTTTTAAGACTTTTTAAGGACCCGCGGGAACCTCTGTATAAAGGAAGATGGGCAGACATGGCAAGGAAACTGGGGAAACGCCATAAAACTTGGTTAACTCTGCCTCAGGGTATCTATGCCTCCTGGTCTTGCTTCCAGTGTGTTTTTTTCACCTGATTGTTGTGAGGCATCCCGTACAAGGCCTCCACCAGGTCAGCCGCTCTCTTTAATATCACCTCCTACAATCAAACAAATAGAGAGAGAGAGAAAGAGAGAGGGTGAGGGGATTGATCAAGAGTGTGAAGGCTCAAAGAGTTCAGTCACTTTTATTACGTTTCACTTCCTACATTATGCTGTGAATGCAGAACAGAGAGTGGCAAAGAGTGGGGGGGGGTGGGGAGGCAGACAGAGGCAGCGGGAGGAAGAGAAATGGGCCTATCCCAGCACTTTGTTACCAGCCAGGGCAGTTTGGGAGAGCAGAGGGAAGATACTGTTATCAGTGAATAAAACATGAGCCTATATCTCTCTATCAGTCAGCCATCTTCTACATCTACTCCCCTCCTTTTTGTCACTGATGGATCATGACTCTGGTGCGCATGATCACGCATCAATTTCATTTAACACAACATATCATCAGGTTGACGGCTACACAACCACCCCCCGTCAGTGGGAACACTCTCGTCTCCTGGCCCGTATTAACCCCGGTAATGATCCGAGTGAATGGCCCCACATCCACTTTGTGTGATAAATGTAGAACATCATTGCTCAGGTGAAAACCGCCGAGCGGAATTTCCCACATCAAACATTTATCCTAACGCAGTGTTACCGACCCCCCCACACCCCCTCCTCCTCGCTGCGTCTCTATTCCTTTCCCCTCCCTGAGTGGATGAGTGTGTGACTCCAGGCAGTGGTTATATATGTGTGCGCATGCGATGGAGACACCTACAGCCCTACAAAACCCTTTTTAAAAGTTAATGTGCCGGGGCCAGGATATATGCTGGAGGTGCGACAAGCAGAAAATTACAGCCCTCCCCTTCGTTTCGTTCTCCTCCACACACACGCTGTGCGTTATACTCTCCTGAGTGTATCCCTGGCTGTGAACAAGCCCCGGAGCATGTGTGCTCTCTGTTCTGTGACACGCCGCCTTTCAATCAGACCTCATATCAAACCCCTCACCGACACACATACAGACGCGCACCCACACGTCAGCCGCATGCATGTGGAAGCTGTCGAGCACGCCCGAGACATGACGAGAGGGTCAGCAAAGCAATAAAGATTGTAGAACGCTGTCCGAGGTGCTAAATTCACTCAATAATGGGAGCGCTGCCTCTGTGTTAACCTCCCATTACTAGCACTATCTTGGGGGAAACTGGAAGGGGAGGAGGGGGGAGACAAGAGAGGGGCCCTGCCTCAGGTGATTGAGAGATGTAGAGGCCCTAGGAAGGTAAGTGGTTCTTTAGTATGTATGCGCCGCTCCTCGCTTTTCCTTTCTCTCCGCTTTTCCTCAAAGCCACATGCCTCCCAGGGATTGCTAGATAGGTAGATGGACGGATGGAGAGGAAAGAGAGGGATGATGTGGAGGAGAAGAGCAGGGGAAATGAGGGAAGTGTGAGGCATTAGGACTCAACCAGATCTGCAGCTGGAGTGTTAACGGTGTTCCGGGAGGACACGTGAAAAGCTCAGTCACTTAATGTCCGCAGATCCAGCCTCTCTCTACCCCAACCTGCGTCTCCAAACTACTTTCTTTCGTCTCCCTCCTCTATTAATCACTCTCTCATGGTCCTGCGCCCCGTCTGTGCCCATCAGCCTCTCGTTAGCCAAGGGATCTGTCCAGTGCCTAAACATGATTAGGCCGAGCTCCAGAGTCGTTCTGATAAACAGATAAATGTGGTTAGCTCTGCCGCTGTAAGGGGAGACCATTTCCTGGGCGCAAGGGTCTCTTCCCGTAAAGTCAGGCCCACAGAGACGTCAACAGGAAGGGGAACCTGATCCAGAGCACAGCCTGGCCCCGTCTGGAAGACCGGTCACTCATTAGCAACACCCAGACGCCCAGCCGCACCACATCATCTGCTGAACTCAGTGCAGCCCAGCTACCTATTCGCTTTGGTCAACCGTTAAATCGACTTTAGCAGAATGTTTGTGGGCTGCTTTCTGCCGGACATCGAACCATTAACTGTCTACTTGCTAACCTTTAAGGATGTTTGCAAAGGGATTTATAAAGATATTCAAAAATAAGAAGGAAACAGTTGCCTGAAAAGTTACCAATGCCTTTTATAAAATAAGATATACCCATGATGTGAACGGAAAATATATATGAACCCAAGTAAAAAAAATCTAACAGCCTTTGTCTTTTCATTTGTAATCAGTTTATGTTACTCTGTTACTCCTTAATAAGATCCAACGTTACTTTTCTCTTACTTGATTTAAAATAATATAAAGTGCTATTACTTTTACTTGATCTCTATCCATCAGAATTATTCTAATGGAGCGTTGTAAATTATATTTAACATAGAGAATTAGTGCTGTAGCCTCAGTGGTCTAAATGTTTTAAATGCACTAAATGCTGCACACTAAATAGCCATTGTTAAGCTCCTAAAGGCAATGATTTATGCAACGTTGAACTGTTATATTTCGATCAGTACTAGAAACAAAACTTTGCTGTTATATATATCTTTATACCATATTTAATGGAAGGAATTGTTCTATAATAGATGTACTGTTTATACTTCTTTAGAAGTAGTTTTTCACAGAAGCTGTAAAAATATCAGGATTTCTAAAAAAAAAAAGCTAGAATGTTATAATTTTTAACCAAACTTATGGTTGAATAACTGAAATATTTTTACTATAAACAAATGATTATGTAATACTGCTACATACCAATACTTCCTTCAATACCAACAGTGAGGCTAACGTTAGCTTAGCTCATACGAGGGTTCCATGTTTAACAAAAATCATTTTAGAGCGAATCACTGCTGCTGTCAAAACACATAAATGACTGCGTGAAAATAAGTTATTTGATGATCATTATTAGCCGCTTGTGGAAAACAGCAGAGGTTCCACTGCAAAAAAAAATAAAAATAAAAATGTAGATCTAAATAAGTCATATTTTCTTAAAAGCAGTGCTTTTTTTTTTATTGAAGAGGTAAACCAGACACTTTCTCAACGGAACAACACAATTTACATTCAAAATAGGAAAAAACAATTGCATTGTCTTATTTCAAGTGCATATTATCTAATTATCTTATTTTAAGAGTAAAAATACTCATTCCATTGGCAAATCCTCTTATTTACCTGCTCAAATTAGGGGAAAATACAATTAATCTAAGAAATTTTTACTTATTTCTAGATTGTGTTTGCAGTGTGGATTTCCTGGAAAGTAGCCAATCACAGGCAGTTTACTTCCTCAGGTTGGCTCCACCCTTAAAGTGACAAATGTTGACCTGAGCGCACAGACTCAGATTCACACGTGAGTAGGAGAGAGTCTACAGATGGATAAAAAGCTTGCAAGCGAAGAGAAACAGCATGAACTCATGGATGGGATATTTTGGAGGCCTTGTGGCATTAAATCTGCACACATTGAACGTTCAAATGCATGTGGAGAGTGATTTTTGTGTTTTAAACAAGATACAAACAATCATCATTCTTCATTTCTTTTGTTTTTTGTTTCACAAGTTTGACATATTTGGAAAGCTTAGACTCCACTCTTTCAGCATATTTAAATAACTGCTCTGTGAAAGCCTCATTCACATCGGAAACAATCCTGAAGACCACGGAAAGCAGCACACAGGTAACCTATGAATGAGGATATTTAAAAATGGCTCAGCTTATAAACAATATCTCTGATCTCAACAATCTCACATAGCACTTATCATTCAGTGATTTAAACAACTGGACAGATTAGACCGTGGCACTAGGCTCATTGTTGTATCGAGCTACTTCTACATCATCAACTTTGCAAGATATATCAGTTCAACTTTAGATTTAATCAAAAAGCCAAAGTTTAGCCACTTTTTACATTTTAAAACAAGATAATCTCTCTACTTTATGTCATACCACATCTTTCTGGCTCCTGAAGGGCCTTATAATTGCTGAATATGGTTTTAGTTTGACAAGTGGTTTAGATTAGGGAATATAACTGTGCTTAAATAGTTTAAACCAAAATTTAAGTAAAACTTGGTTGCAACGCAGCATAAAAGTAAGCCAATTTTTCTTAAGTGCATTTTTTCTTGAATTAAGCAGGTAAGTGAGACACTTTGCCAATGGAACAAGACAATTTACATCTAAAATAAGAATGCAGTCTCTTATTTCAACCTTATATTATCTAATTATCTTATTTTAAGGCTAAACATAGTCATTCCATTGGCAGATCTTTGTATTTACCCACTAAAATTAGGAGTAAATATGCTTATTCTAAGAATTTTCTAGAAATAAGTAAATATTTCTTAAATTAAGTGTATTTACCCTTAATATGAGTAAGTAAATGAGATAGTTTGTCAATAGAATGAGTATTTTTACTCTTAAAATAGGATAATTAAATAATATGCACTAGAAACAAGACAATTAAATTGTGTTTTCTTATTTTAAGTGTAACTTGTCTTTTTCCATTGGCAAGATGTTTCTTTTAACTCCTCAATCCAAGAACAAATGCACTTTTTAAAAAGAAAAAAATTACTTATCTAGATTTCGCTTTTTTCCAGACTGAGCTTCAGCTGTTTTTATAGAGAATTTAATCAAAATGTTGTTTTTAAATGTAATTAATGTCAGAATTTAAAAGGTCTATGATTGCTTTTTTTTTTTTACACGGTATAACTGTATGTAGATCCCAAAGTTGGCCCCATGTGCCCCTCTACTGCCTGACTCTCATGATTGAGGCCAACAATTGGGAGAAGTGTGGTCAACAAAGTGTTATTACCTCAATAAAGGCACAAATCAATAGCTCTGAAATGAACAAGCGGGCCTGCCAGCTACCGCTGTTCATTTAGAAAAGAAAGAGACACCACCAAGAGCGGGAGAATGAGCAGGAGGAGGAAAAAGAGATAGATGGATTGATGCAGAGACATTTACAGAGATACGGGGGGTTGATAGGCTAAAGAGCAGAACTCACCGGGACAGTCTCACATCCACCAGACACTCAGCCAGGACAAGAGACTTCTTCATTTCCCCCTCTGCATCTACCTGAACTCCTCATCTCTACCATGTGACCGCTTCCCTTCACCCAGAGCGCACGATCGCGTGTGCATTTCTTTTAGTGTGCTGCTTTTGTGGATGTGTGCTGGAAGTAATAAAGTCCACCCGGGGTTGACTTCGATCCACTGACCCAGCAGGAGGTAGGACTGGACAGCTATGATGGATCACCTAACCTGCTTCTGCCTCAGCCTCCTTTCCTCCCTCTATTCCTTTTTTTTCCCCCTTCCCACATCCACCCCTCTTTGCCAGTCTAAATGACCTTATACTCAGTGGAAGAATAAATGGAGCTGCTTTCATTTGGTCCTGCTAATTATCTTCTCCAGCAGGAAACGTCCATATACAGTGCTTTGCAAAAGTATTCAAAATCGTTAAACTTATCCCTTTTTATATACCCTCCTTTGTCGATACATCGTAGAAAAGTCTTTCCCTCCAATTACAGCAGAGGAAAAACATTTTTTTGCTCAGTTTAAACTCAGATTGGATGAAGAGAACCTCTTAACTTTACATTTCAAGCTCTGGACTTTAAAAGCGGGCAATTCTGCCATCTGAATACATATTGACCAGTTCCTCCCGTTATAGTCCTGGGGGTACATTTAGGATCAATGTCCAGATGAAAGTTGAACCCTCGTCTAGTCTCAAGTCTTTGGCTGCCTCAGGTTTTTCCTTCACATTTTCCCTTTTTCCTATTGACCGTCTTCATCATCAGTGACCAGCAGGACAGAAAAGGTGGCGTAAAATAGGTTTCTACCAAAGTTCAATTCAATTCAGTTTATTTATAAAGCGCCAATTCATAACAAAAGTCATCTTAAGGCACTTTACAGTTCACCAGATCATATAGTTAAATTGATTCAACATTTTCTATCAAAAGAAAACCAGTTGATTGCATCGACTCATTGACTCTTCAGCAATCCCTAGCATTAAGCATGTATGTAGCGACAGTGGAGAGGAAAAACTCCCTTTTAACAGGAAGAAACCTCCAGCAGAACCAGGCTCAGTGTGAGCGGCCATCTGCTGAGGCCGGGGAGGGGAAGTTATCTACATGTAGGTCAAAGTTTTCTATTTTGATCTTCTTACATGTTTGCCCAGATTTCCTTCCTCAACTAAAACAATCTAAATAATTCTCCAGTCAATTCAATGACTTCATTCCACAAAGTGTTTCTGAAATCCCCCGGAAGCTGAAGTATGCCACATGTAACAAAGGATCCTAAAAGTCTGATCGGAATGGCTGGAGTACCTAAATTCAGCTTTCCAAATCATGAGTTTAATAACAATACAAGGCCAATGGGCAAGTGGGTGATATGAACTCAGAAGGTCAACATACAGAGGACAAGAAAAAGAAGACTTGCATATGCACATGCACTCCTAAGGCCAGTTTATATGGATTGACGTTGTGGTTTAAAAGTACACTGCAAAAATGATCTAGAAATAAGTAAAAATCTCTTAAATTAAGTGTATTTACCCTTAATTTGAGAGGGTAAATACGATGATTTGCCAATGAAATTAGTATCTTTACTCTTAAAATAAGATAATTAGATAATATGAACTTGAAATAAGACAATGCAATAGTTTTATCTTATTTTAAAGGTAAATTGTCTTGTTCCATTGGCAAATTGTCTCACTTTCGTACTGAATTGGAGAAAAAAATGCACTTATTTTAAGTAAAGATTGCTTAATTCCATTTTTTGCAGTGTAAAATAACCTAATCGGATTCATCCTACTTTTCATTTTACAAAAATAAATTTAATCAGGCGGTTGAGCTGAATTCAAAGTGTAACAAAATACAACTTTGCATGCAAAACAACATGGCAGCCCCTTTATGATATTTTTATAACATATTCCCTAAACACATATTCAGCATTACAGAACCCCTCCCCCTAGCCCAAGAACTTCCTGACTCGAGCAACAATGCTACCAATTTTCCATTGTGCGGTCCCCATTCTAGAACCCAAACCTTCCTTAATCATTTCAAACACTTTATCCATTACCTCCCTGCTGCTTTCTTTGGTCAAAATGATGCTATATTGTCACTAATGCTCTCTAACAAACGTCTGAGAAGCCCCACCCACTTCCAGGCTAACTGCATGCAGCAAGGCTAATGCTTTATTCTGCTTTTCCCTGCCTTTTTTTTTGTTTTTCAAACATCAGGATCAGACCCAACATGGATAAAGACAGGTAAGACTGATTTAAAGCACTTTCTAGAAAAGGCAAATAGGAATGAAAAATCTGGGATTCACATGGAAAATAATAGAATATAGTCTACTTTTTCTAGATGTTGGTTAATTTGGATAGTTGCTCTTAACCCTCTCCAGGCAGATGTTGCAGATTTGCAACAGCTAAATGCTACTTAGCTAATTACTCCATATTTTAAGAGCTTTT